ACCACTAGCCATGGAGCGGACAGGAGAAGAAGGACGTGACGATAATTCATCAAGGTCGTCATCTGCAAGCTCTCGTGATAACATTGTGGAAAATGTGGCATTAGCTTGTTCTGGTAGGGCAAATTGGTAAGGATGTAACAAGTATACGTCTGACGGGACGAGTACCTTTTGCTGCATCCGATTCGTGAGGAATGATCCTATGTGAAGAGGAAAATAGAAGATCGTTCTCATCTAGTAGATTGAACGCCCGCTGCCTTTCGTCAATCTCTCTAGAAGGTACAAACCTGTGTATTTGGTGTCAGCTTGAGAGACACCAAAGGTTAAAGAATATGAACAAGCCTACCTGTCACCCAAATCCACCCTTTGCCGTTTCCTTGGTCGTTTTCCAGGGCTCCCGGGACTGGAAGGTGGCACGCTACTGGTCATGGTAGACGACATACCACTTCCCCCAAGTGAAGGGGTGGCATATCCGCTATCACCATAGCCATGTGAATGTGTTCTGATCCTTGAACTTCGTGTTGGGCTGACGATTACAGGTTCATCTGCATTCTCGCCATCAGGATCAGGAGCGGCGGCAGTAATTGCTGCTAAACGAGCAAAAACATCGTTATTAGCCATTGACTTTTGATTCATGAAGATGCTTTTCCGTCCGGTGTCTCCATCATCATCGTCGCCACGAGTGGGGAACTGGAGATCCTGGAGAGGCGCCATTTCACGTGTCGAAGCTCTATTAAACACTGTATAAACCAGTTATCGTCGGTGGTTTTGATTTATTGCTAGTCTCGACGCTTCAGAGTCTCCTGCGCCCGATCAATGTCGTAGTCTTGGAGGTTGCAATTTCGAAAACGTGAGAGTACGATAGAGCTATGGATGCAGAAATGTGAATCTGCCAAATAATGTAGTCGTCTACCCAAGAAACTCCTCGAAGTACGCTCCGAGTGGCCGGCTTGAAGTTTGGTGGGACGCCGTCAAGAGTGCTTGCTTTGTTGTCGGGGTTTCGCGCGCGAGGATAGATGCCCCTAACCCTGAGTTTGCATTTTACGTTGATAAAAGTATATGAAAAGCTTGATTAAAATGATAGCTTAAATTAATGCAAAGTTTTTACATCTCGCTCAAGCGATAAAGTCAAAGGAAGGCTCATAGGAACGATCAGTTATGGATCAGGGTCAATGAGACCAAAGTAGTCGGCCCCTCAGGTCTTTGCAGCATTCAGCTCCATCCACGAGCGCTTCCTCTACCAGCACCATGTCCCTTTTCACGCTCGACAGCGAATAGAACGTCGCGCAACCCAATAGTCCGCTCTTTGTCTCCTCCTTTCGCCCCTTTCGCTCTCCCTTTGGCTTTGGAGGTACCCCAAGACCCCCAACCGGTTCCAAAGGCGACAGGGCCACCTCCCGTGCCACTAGCAGTGGCAGCAGGTCGCCGTGGAAGAGGCGTACTACCCGTATTCATCCACGCGTATCTGTTTCCAAACCCAGCGGCAGCGTTGGCAACAGTATTGCTAAGTTTTTTCTTTGTCTCTTCAGACATATTTTTGGCTTGTACTCCAGGGCCTTCAGC